TCTGTAAAGTATCTTTATTTTCTAGGGATTATAGCCAAAATCTTTTCACCTTGTACATTTTTGTAAGAATTTTCCATAAATGGTGATGACAATAATAGAGACGAATACTCTTTGGTTCTATTGGGTAAAGTCACGTAGGTAAAAAATAAAATAACAAAAATCACGACGTTTCGGCCACAACACAAGCGGCCTTCATCAGGTGAAGGGACGAGACTGTCTGGAGGACAGCGCTGGAGTGAAAAAAGCCACGCTCAGATCACGACCGTTAAGTTTGTGATCGCGGCATCACAAGCTTAAAGGTCGTGATCTGAGCGTGGCTTTTTTCACTCCAGCGCTGTCCTCCAGACAGTCTTGTCCCTTCACCTGATGAAGACCGCTTGTGTTGTGGTCGAAACGTCGTGATTTTTGTTATTTTATTTTTTACCTACGTGACTTTACCCAATAGAACCAAAGAGTATGGATCCTTGCAGTCACGAAAGCTTTAAATCTAGAATAGAGACGAATACCTGCAAAATACTAAATAACGCGTGTACTGTGTTAAAAGTGAAGTAGATGCTTTGGTTGTGCTGTGGGAGGCTGGGGTTGGTGGATCACTGGAGGATGGGATGCGCGCCGTACTCGCGCATGCTTTGCGTTGTATCGCTCCGGGCCGGCCTCTCGCTGAATTGAGGAGGCAGAGGAGTCCCTGGGCGCTGCGCCAACCGAGCAGCATGGGGGGGGGGGGGGGGGGGGGGGGGTACTAAAACCACGGCCGCCGAGTTTCTCAAACAAGCCGGGAGCAACGGTTGATGCCGCCGGAGCAGTTGGCGACGTCTCTCGGCCCGCGCTGCTACAGCCAAAGGGAGGGGGGGGGGCCTGACTTGAAGTGAGAGCTAAACGGTCTCGTTTAGCGTGATTTGTGCTCGCTCCTCATTCGGAGCTCCCAATGCATCAAACGGTCGTGATGGTGATTAGCGCGTATTGGCAAGCGCCTTATTTTGATGAAATGCCAGCTTTTACCTTTGTAAAATTCGCACGAGAACAACAGCAGCAGCAGAAGCAGCAGCAGCAGCAGCAGCAAAAGCGACAGCATTCTTCAAAGGGTCGCTGGCAATGTCCATGTGTCCTTGCCGTAGAGGTGTGGGTGGCGACGTGGGGTGGGAGCTCATTTTGAAGCCGCCCCACGGCTCGCGAGGAGAAGGGGGGGGGAGGTTGGTGGTGGCGGCTCTGGTGAATTTTGTCCAGGGCCCACGGTGTTTCTGGAATCATTAATTGCCGCTGTAGCGGCGGCTTGGAATATTGATTACACTCACGAGGATTGTAAGCGGATTGGGGGCGTGACTGGCCCTGGCTGCGATGGATGGGGCGTGGGAGTGAGTGGCACCCATGCCCTCCCCCCCCTAATGAATGCACTCCCCACCCCCTCTCCCTGACCCTCACCCGACAATGTGACACCGAGCTCCTCCAGGTGGTGTCTTCACCACTTTTGACGGAGACGTGCGAGCGGTCGTGAGCGTCAAGGCCGGGTTCGGGGGGCCTCTCTGCTAGGGGTGCAATGATCCGCGGGCCCCCTGCTAATCGGTGACTAGCATTGTCTTGGACGATCCATGGATTCAAGAATGCATTTCGTGATTTGATCTGTACGAATACGGTGCATTGTCAAGTGCGGGTTTAATGATTTACCCCTCTGACATTTCAGTTGCCGCGAGTTGTGGTTATTATCCGATTTTTTTAAAAAAGGTGCTGTTTTTCATGTTTTAGTGAATGTAGTGGCATCTAGAGGTTGGAGGGGTTCACATGAACCCGTCACATACACAAAATTATATATTAAAAAAACACTTATTCGATTAAGCTTAATTTTTTATGACAGTCAATGAATCCACGCATCTTAATTGTTAATTAATTGTTATACGGATACATGTATGAGATGTCTCGAATTGTTAAGAGTGGCCGTTGCTCGAAACATCGCCTCCCTTGAAAAAGAAACACCGCTGGTCTCAATGGCTTCTCACCCGGTTGTAAAGGCCATCTTTTACTGGTAGGAAACGTAGTGGACTGGAAGCCCAACCGGGATTAATTCGCAGGAGGCAGGGGATTAATTGGGTATGTCTGTGGATGTCTGTCCACGTGTATCCGGACATTCGGATATAAAAAATGGGAGGGGTGGGGCTGGGTGGAGAGGGGAGGGTAGGGTGGGGCGGGGTTGGGTGGGGAGGGTGGGGCTGTGTGAGGCTGGGTTTGGGCTGGGTGGGGAGGGGCTGGTCACCCCGTGGTGCCCTTATAAAACTCAACGCTTAACCTACTCACGCCGGCTTGTGCCCGCCCTCAGTCGGGCATATTTGCGGAATACACCACGTGGTGCCGCCATTGACCCTGGCCACTGACCGAGCAACCAACGTTCCTACCAGCCCCCTCCGCAGGAGAATGTGTTTTATTTCTGTTGGATGGCGATGGTGCTGAGTGTGACGTGGCGGGATTGCGAGCGTGAGAATCGACCGAAATTCGGCGCGTCGATGGGGGCCGCGTCGCCGCAACTTCCGCAAATGATTAGAAGAGAGGCGCCTTGGAGACCGCTGCTTAAAGCCTGCTGCGATATACCTGCTGTTCGGCCGCGCTCGCAAGCGGTGGATTGAAGTTTGTTTAACGCGTAGGCTTTCCCGGCCAATATTATCCACAATTAACGTTTTTTGAAGTAGTAACTGATGGAACTTTTTGGTTACGTGACAAACCTTACTAATTGGCTGTGTCGGACGATGGCGGGTTTAACGACACAACTATATTTACGCGATCTAACCCCAACAGCCTTAATTATGCATTGAAGTTTGTTAACGTTGTGGCACGCCAAGCAGATTGGCGTGGCGAGGCCTTGTTGAGGGCTGAGAGGCGTCGTGGTTGATCCTTCACTTGTTTGGCCCCCCAACCAGCATTCATTTCAGTTGTAAATGCAGAAAAGTGTCATTGTCCTGCATTCAAAGCTGTTTTTGTATTGGCTTGATAATTACAAAAAGTCAAAATGCAAGTGTGTGCAGCCCTTTGTCAATCCACTGGTGGGTGAAGGCCTTTCCCAAGCCGTTGTCACTCATGAGGGTTATTTGACCATACTTCACCACGCTGGCCAGATGGGGTTGATGAAGGGGGGGGGGGCAGTTTGGATATCGCTCGTCATTGATGTTAGCCGTGGGTGAGGATCAAACTCGTGTTGCTGGCTTCGTTAAAGCGGCGAGCAAATCACCGTGGCACGGCTGCACCCACCGCTGTGTGTGCTGGCTTGTACCAAAAATATGCAGTCTGATTTACAAAAAAAAAAACAACAGAAAATGCCGGAACAATGACCGCCTTGTAGCAAAGATTCCCGCATTGCTTTCCCCGCGGCCAAGCTAAAAATGTGTGACCTTGACGACGTCGGCGGCTCGTCTGGCACCTCTGTCCCCGGGCCTTCGCACACTCGCGAGCCCCCCGCCACTCCCGCGTCAAGCCGGGCGGCACCACACGGGGCCTGGATTCGAAACCCCGGGTCCGTGCTGCGCATCCAGGAAATCGAACGATCCATGGGTAGATGCTTGTGCGGTGGGACATCGTTTGAAGGATGTCGGAGGCCTGCGGCGTGCTTCCTGGGTTATTGCGTTGAAGACGCAGTTGGTGCTCTGACCCTCCCATGCCGTTCACCATCGGCCGTGCAGGACGACAGCGACGACATCATCGGCCGTGCCAGCGCTGCGAACCTCAGAATCGTAAGATGTACTTAAATTGGAGGAATCTGACGAGCTGTGAAGCTCTTTTTCAGAGATGGCCCGGTCGGTGCTAAACGCTGCAGCTCGTGTGATAGTTTGGGAGGGGAAATACGGCCCGCTCACGACCCCGATATGAGACGAGCTGCACTGGCTCCCTATTAAAGATAGGATTTCTGAACCCAGTATGAATGACCAGAGAACGGGGGCTGGGGTGGGGGTCCTCAGACATTGAGCCCGTGGGGGGGGGGGGGGGGGAAGGGGAATAGAACGTTGATCCGGACATCACGTTTGTTATTTTGTTTATGTAAGTTGTGTTTCGGTGATATCCCCCCCCTCACCTCCCTTCCCTTCTTCCCCTTCCTCTCCCTCCCTGCTTCACCCACTGCCCCCGACCGTTGTCCCTGCTGTTTTAAGGTCGTGAACCCGGGGTGTAACTGTAATCGGTCCCCATTTGTGGGAGATTCACCCTCGAGGTTGCGGCTCAACCTTGGACGTTGTGCACACGTGGAATGTTTCCCCTCTGTGACTCCAGTTCGTGGGGTTCAAGAATAATGAAACCTCGTTGGTGCGGCGATGCCGGAGGCCAGCGCAGTTTCGGGGTCTCCGGCTTCGAGACCCGCAACGAGTTCCTCTCGGCTCACGTCCGGGATATCCATCCCTCGAGCCCGAGACAGCTTTTGCGAGAGACTTAAAACGGCGCTTTTCCAATGAGCTACGCGTGATTAGTGCGCATTCATGATGGCCGGACTCATTAAAGTGGGCGATAAGAAATGCTAGGACCTACTTGTCGTTCCGCGCCATGTTATGAATTGTTGAAATTCAGTGTTGTGATGAGATCGAATGTGTACAGTGCTTAATTGATGATTATTTTTTTCTTGTAACGTGGTGGTGGTGGTGGCCACTTCGTGACCAGAGGGTCGCATGAACTCATTGCCGCCCGATAAAATACAAAATATAAGTAACATTGATTCTCGCGTACGCGATTAAAAAGTATATTACATTGATTCTCGCGCGTACGCGATGAAAAAAACATAACATTGATTCTCGCGTGTACGCGATTAAAAAAAAAGTTTCATGAGCTTAACAATCAACATTACTTTGATAAATCGATGCGTCGGTACACCCTTTGTATGTGGCTTTTAGAAAGCCCAACAACATCTACAACCGTTCTCAACACCCAATGCCCTCAGTGATGGTGTTTGTCGCCGGCCCATTGCGTCCGCAACAGTGGTGAGCAGAAAAGGCGGTCCTGACTTTGTGGTATTTGACATTGGCCCTGTCTCTCTGCAGGTGTTTCTCAAGATCGGACCACCTGGCGCTGCATATGAAGAGGCACCTTTGACCTTTTGAAGGTGAATCGAAAATATCACTGGGAAGCAACACCTTTGCCATCACCTGCTTTGGAAAAGTATCTTTCTTTTCTAGGGATTATAGCCAACATCCTCTTGCCTTATACATTTTTGGAAGAATTTCACATGAGAGTGATGATGATGATGATGACGACGACGAGGACGACGATAATGATGATGATGAATACGTAGAAAATACAAAAAAAAGAGAGTACGTTCTTTCGACGGATCGGAGCACGCGAACGATTGCATTTCTATTGAAGATTTTGAAAGAACACGAAGGAAAGAAACCCGAGGGGAAAGGAGCATCCTGTGCCGAAGATAACACGAGACTGACGCGTTGTTTTTTTCCCGGAAGGTTGCTTTTTATTTGAAGGCAAAAGATGCGGCGGGGCGTCTCGAGATGAGCGCCGGGGTCGTCGCAGCGGCATTTAAACTTCACGGCGTCGTGCAAAAAGTACAGTGTGCCCGCACAATGACGACGGCGACCCCACGCGCCGCGATGGACTCGCGGAGTTCGGAGGGCACTTGAGGTGGACTTGAGGGGAAAAGGTCTTTGGGATTTTTGTACGGGGGCCAATCGCTGGTTTGCCGAGATCATTTTCGTTTCTTTTCCGTTTGTGACGAGAGCCACGTGTCGACAAATAATACTAGTAGTACGTGAGAACGATGTACACTTATTCATACGCGTATCCTCGAATAATTTACCATTGCGGTTACCCCCCCCCCCCCCCCGTGCGTTTCGTCACGTGATTAGTGTTCGTGTCCTAGCAGTGTTCATTGCGTTGTGCGCCACGTGCCGTTTTTTTTTTACAGACGCCGAAACAGAAACGTGAACTTTTAGTTTACTTGACACTTGTTGCAGTAGCAGCGGGGACCCGTCATGTTCTGCTAGTTCCCAAGAAGCTCATTTTGTGTGTTGCGATAATGGACGAAAAAAAATGGACGTGCACTTTTAGTTTTATAAATCCTTTTTACCCCCCCGCCCCCCCCTGCCCACCACCCATCCCGTGACCCCTTTACGTTATTATTTTTTACTTGAAGATTTTCGTTTGTATTAATGCACTAGCTCAATGTCTTTGGTGTGGTGCCTTATATCAAGATATTATTTTTCATCATGCTTTTGTACCCTCCTCTTACCTGCCCCCCCCCCCCCCGTTTTGAAAGCCACGAAACAATCGAGAAATATTTTTGGTTTTTTTTTATTTTCGGACGGAAATCGAATTGTCCCTAAACGGATTTGCATGTTGCCAGGACTTCGCTTGCAGCGGCCGTCAGATACATTGTTGCCGCCTGTCGTTGTTTCTGCACCCTTAACTGAGAGCACTTTTTTGCCAAAAGTTTCAGCCATCAGAGTGAATTTTCTTCTTTTCTGAAACTTGAGAAAACAAAGAAGCAAATTTGTTTGCAATTCATTTCAAGTGTGGTGCTTGTCACGTCTTGGTCGTTATCATGTTTTGTTTTGTTTCAGGCAGCTATATTGCAGGCGTTCAAACAAAAAAATATTTATCCTTCTTCCTGAGTTAATTAAAAAAATACGACTAGTGTAGGTTTAAAAAAAAACAACAACAATCCCTTGACATATAACTGTCGGGGCCAATGCTTAATTATGGCAGCGTAGCGAGAAGCGTAGTTGTGTCTTCTCGTGGACTCTGCGTGCTTGGCTGTAAATGTACTGACGGTGTCTGTGTACGTGCACGTGAAGTAGAGCACAGGGGTCCTCAGCCCGGTTAGCGTGGGGGGGTGCCGCGGGAATAAGTTATGAAGTAATTATTATTAATAATAATGATAAATTATTAATAATTAATAATTAAGGTTTCCCACAAAAGGTTAAGTGGGGAAGGAGGGGGGAAGGGGGGGGGGGAGTCTCCCTCCACGATTCTCCAAAGCGTCAAGTGATCCGTGATGGCAGAGGGACCACGGCAAAGACAAAGATCCCCGTGTAGCCTGAACAGACTTTTGAGGCAAGTGTTGTTAGCGAGTCGCACCTAATGAAGGCGCTACTCGCTAGGGGGGTGGGGGGTGGACAACACCACGCACGGCCGCCCCTTTGTCTCCCCAGTGGCGATGTTTACACACCGCACCGGGTACTCGTTTTAGGGCTGAGTCGGCCTAGGGGAGGCCCAGGACCGGTTCAGATAATCGTCACCGGTGTTGGCCGTGAGCGGGAATCGAACCCGGATCTCTAGGTTCGTAGCGTTAACCGCTGCACCACCGCTCCCCATACACTCACGCACCCTTTCCTCACGCACTGTTGTCTGCCTTTGGCAAAGTGCTGCACGCAGATATTCCTCCGTAATAGAGGCTTTCCGGGGTTAGATCGTGTTAATATAAATGTGTCGTTAAAACCCGTCACCACCCGACCCTGCCAATTAGTAAGGTTTGTGACATCAACAAAACGTGTCAATTCGTTTCGAGTGCAGCACACCGGTGTGTTGGAGTGTAAACCCACGATGATTACAATTCGAGTACTCTCCAACACACCGGTGTGCTGTACTCGTAACGAATTGCTACGTTTTTTTTCACCTGACAAACTTTACTAGTTGGCTGTGTCGGGTGGTGGCGGGTTCAACGACACATTTATATTCACACGATATAACCCAAATACCTCCATTGTGGATAATATTGGTCGCGAAAGCCCACGTGTTAAACTGGTGATATTCCTCTTATCCGCATTGATACCTAGGTACTAATTGGTGGGGGAATCCTGTTATCCTCAAAATATCTGTCCACTTTCCCCCTTTAGATCCGAGTAAGAAAGCACAGTTCGCTCAATGAATTTGCTGCCACTCTCGGATTACTTTTCTCATGCCCCCCCCCCACCACCACCACTCTCAAAGTCGTGGTGAAAAGGAAGAATGTTTGCACGGATATTAGGAAGATCTGCAGTATCGAGTCTTGATTCGGGTGACGTGCACAATGCCGCTCGCTGTAGCGGGGGTTTGCGCGAGGTGGCGATCCAATCTTGTGCGACGGGGAGGGGTCTGGTCCGTGATCCAACATGAAGAGGGTTGAGAACTCCTGACTTAGGCGGTACTAGAGTACGTAGCGGTAGACCGTAGATTATTGATACCACATCGGGTGTCATTACTAACCCATTGGGGTAAACACGAGACATTGTTTCATCACGTTACACGATCGGAGGCGGGCGGGCGGGCGGGCGGGCGCCAGTTTTCCCCATCCCCACCCGCACGTGGAGCGTGGTGCACGTAGAGTGTTTAAACCAGCAGGCACACGTATGCAAAAAGGAAAGGCAATAAATGAGATTGACGTTTGATATCGACTCGTGCAAAATGCCGTCGCCGTGCGCCGCCAGGCCCGCGCGTTGTTTAGGGGCAGGGTGCGCGGTGCCACTCTGGGGTGTCGGTGACGAAATGGCCTCCCGCGTGAATTGCCGCCCAGCCGCTGGGGTGAGAGAGCCGCGTGCCGATTGTTGATGGTGTTTAATTGGCGTTCGCGATTGCCGTCGTAGGTTCTTTTTTTCCCACCGGGGAATCTAAATTTACTTAAAGCCTAACTCGAGGTAATCTGCCACGGTGAGATCTTGAGGTTTTATTTTGTTTTTGTTCGTGAAAATGTGCCTTACGAGAGAGAAGAAAAAAAAACCCAAGCTAATTTGGAACATTTGCCATAAAAGGACTTTAAAAAAATTAAAATCTGACTCGGTAGGAATTGAATAAAAATGTCCTTTGAGAATTTGCCAAATTTTGGTGAGGGAGGGGGGTTACAATTTAGATTGCAACATTTGAAAAGGTCAAGATTGGCTGGCGTAGAGGATTACCCGGCCCGCCACTGAGACACTTTGTGCGACATCGACAATTCGATTCCCACTACTGCCCAGCGACGGTTCCTAGAAACGATTATTACCAAAGCGCGCCGTCTGCTACGGAGCGGACGTTAAAAGCCCTGTGGCACCATTTTCAAGATGAGTCCACTGCCCCAGGTTACTTATCCCAAATCTGAAATGAGATTTTTATTCTAAGGTAAAGTGACCAAACAAAAAGTGATTTCCTTCCCAGTGGAAGTAAGTAACGCGTTGTTCCCTGTAAGAGCAGTATTTTATATCGACGGGCCTCTGAACTTGTTTAACCTGGATACGTTGGCCGCATAGAACATGGAGGTCCTCACACATGCTTGCGTTGAGCTTCTACGGCGGCGTGCGGCGATGCCGTCTCTTCTTATTCCCGGTTGCTTTTGCTTCGGGATTTCGTCAGAGGGGTGGTGGTCCTGCCCCACCGTGTGAGTTGCGCGTAAATGCTGAGAGCGGGAACGTGGCCCTGTGCATCGGCGGCACGCTATTTATTATGGGAGCAATAACGAATGCAGAAACGAACACATCTCACGTGCATAGGGGGGGGGGGGGGGGGGTGCAGGGGGGGGAGGCGGGCAGCTATTGTTTGACGGGACACGTGCAACATTAAACTGTAGCAATATCGCCACCAGAAAATGAAACGCGTCACGTTTCCACTCGCGACCGCTTGGATTCCGCACGCGCGCACTGTTCCGGCGAGTCCCGTTTAATAGCCGCCGTGTTATCGTCATCGGCCATTGTCCATCCACTGGTGGATGAAGGCCCTCCTCACTGTAGTCACAGCGACACGCATAGTCACCTGATGCATGAGCCACTGGCACCCTGTGATGTTGAGCACTGGCAGGCTTAATTTGCGTAGGGTTGTTAATGGGTTATAGACTTTGGGATAACCGTTTTCTGAATGGATCATTGATTTCAAAATTGAAGGAATTGACGGTGGAGTACGGTTCGATTTTAAAGCAGCTAGTGAACCGATCGGCACGCGAGAAAAGTCGAACGACACTGCCTGTTCTAACGTGATTGGTGATCCTGACGGGTGAAGGCGTTATACCTTGCCGTGTTGGTCATGGGGCTCGCATGGCACCGTACTTTCGCCACAGTGGCGTGCCCAGATAAACATTTCGTCAAAATGATCGAAGATCGAATGTACGTCAAGAATAAGTATGTACAATTGAGCATTTTTTTTAAAAAG